ATATATATTTTTAAAATATTTGTTTTAAATAGTTGATTTTCTTTCATTTTTACTATATATATATATATATGTATATATATAAGTAGGGATCCACTTATATATAAATTTTTTATATCATAATTATACAAAATCTTAATTATTTATCTTTTTACTTTTAATGGTAGAGATTTGTTCGTATTTATTAAAAATAATTATTTTTTTTTCTAAAATATCGTGATAAATTTCAACTATTAAAAATATAAAGATAAATTATTAAGATTTTGTATAAGTATGATGTATAAGATTTGTGTGTAATTGAATTTCTAGTTACTATATATATACATGATTAATGCTTATTTACCTTATTTTTTAAAAACTAAAAGAAAAATTATTTTAAAATTATATCATTTCAATAAAATATTATAAGCAAAGACAAAAAAAATCTAATTCATGCTTTAAAAAAATATTTTAATATTTTTTAAGAAAAATTTATTGAAATAACTTAGTTTTAGAGTGATTTTTCTTTTAATTTTTAAGAGATAAAACATATGGGCACTTTTCCTTTGCTTATACACCTTACCTTTTAAACAATTAAGAAAAAAAAAATTAAAAAATTATGTTATTTTAATAAAAGTATCACAATAAAAAATTAAAAATAATTTAATTTATATTTTAAAAAATAATATTTTAATTTTTTTAATGAGAATTTATTGAAATAATATAGATTTAAAGTGATCTTCCTTCTATATAATTTTTGGTAGTAAGACTGATGGTCATTATTCTTTATTACAAAAATTTATATTAATTTTAGAAAGGATCTAATGAAAAATGCACTTGCCTAATGAAATTGTTCCCCTTTCCTCCTATCTTCATGCAGGGTTGAAGTCCGTGTCTTCTAAGGATTGTAACGTTTTCGAAGTGGCAATGATACAGCCTTCGTGTCTCAGTGTTGTGGTCGATTGTAGTAGTAGAATTTTTTTGGTTTTTTATTATCATGAAAATATATAAATATTAATTAAAATTAATAAAAATACATAAAATTTAATTAAAATAATAAATTTTTATTTTTAGATAAGGTGTTATGTAAAAAAATATTTATGAAAACCATGATCAAACAAAGTTATAATTACAATAGGTTAAATGTTAATTTTGACTCCTCAACTTTACAGTGTTTCACTTTTTTGGTCCCTCAACTATTTTTTACATTTTTTGATCCCTCAACTCTAAAAATTACATAATTTTGGTCCTTTCGTCAGTTTGGGCCATTAATTCCGTCCACATGGCATTTTTTTTTAAATTTTTTTTTGCTGATAACATAGAGAACTTAACTTAAAAAAGTGTTGACAAGGACAAAACATTATGCCATATCATATTCTTGCGAATTAAACACACCAAAGCCCCTCAAATGGGTCCCACATTGCTTGCAAAGAACTAATAAAGGGGTCTATGAACCTTAGAATGCTCTCTCATCTCTCCATCTGCAAATTCGATCTTAACCAATATCTTTTTCTTCCTCTTTTCTTTTCTCAAGGGAACTTGAGAAATTGATCAAATGTAGGGAATTCGTGATGAGATTTGCTCGAGTTGGGTTGCTTCTACTGCTAGTGGGGGTGAATCCTTACAATATGTCTATGATTGTAGTTTGAATGCTGTGATGTGAATGTTGTTCACTTACCAGAACATGGGAAAAAGGTTTCGTGGGAGCCCTAAGTTGGTGGTATGTTCTATCCTAAAGCTTAATTTTGTTTGCATTGAATTATCTTTTTTGATTTAATGATTTAACCTTGTTAGAAACCTTGCAACTACTTCCATTTTTTTCTTGGTGAAGAGACAATCAAGGGTAGACCAAGGGAGTTGCTTTTAATATTAAAAGACAGGGAACAGAAGCTAAAGAGAGAGAATAAAAAATTGACCAAGCAAAATACTGATTTGGTATTGGAAAATGGGAATTTGAAGAATGAGAATGACAATTTGAAGAACAAAAATGAGACTTTGCAGAATGATAATGGGTATTTTGCAAATCAGTGTGATTTATGGATGAAGAACATGAAGATAGCTGAGAAGAAAGTGAAAAAGTTGGATAAGGATTACTGGATATCAAATAAAGTCAACCACATAATGTGTGTAGTTTTTGTTGTGTTTGTGGCTATACTTCTAGTCATATTAGTTGGTGGGTTTAGGTTGATGTAATGAACATATATACGTGTTGTATCTATGTATGTAATGTTTTTGTTATGTTTTTGTCGAATCCCAAATGTTGAAATGCAATAAATTCCATGTCTAGGTAACATAGTCTTCCTTGCTATCATAGAGCAAGATGAATGAAATTTTTGGGTTGTTTCAATTGCATTTCTATACCAATTTTTGGACAAAGGCATTTTGGTATCCAAAGATAGGCAAATTTGGCAATTGGTCATTTACCTAAAGTAGTTCGCAAAAGTCAATATATGCATTTCATTAATCCCAATACAAAAATTATAATGCATATATAGTCATATACAAAATATATGTTGTCCAAGCATATACAAAATATATGTTGTCCAAGTCTAAAAGAAAAAGCACATTATACCAGATTCCCTACCAAAATATAACAAACAACCTTAATTCCCATGTCTGTCCAAAAACAAGCATCCATGCATTAGCAAAGGCAATACACACCCTAATATGTCCAAAAAGAAGCACACCGTAAACACACAAAATAGAACTTGACACTCTAAACATTTGACTATTTATCTTTGTAAATTTTAATCAATAACTCTGCCTAATGACCAAGTGCTTCTTCTTCCTTTTGCCTTCTTTTTTCCCATAATAGTGCTTGCAAGTTAATGGTAGTAGCAAATTGCCTACTGCTTCCAAAGGGAGTTGTTGCTGTTGTTAATGGAGTTGCTGTTGTTAATGGAGGTGCTGTTGGTGTAGGGACTATTGGTGGAGCCGTGGAGGTGCTGTTAGTGCAGGCACTGTTGGTGCAGGCGTTAGAGCTACAACGAGGATTCTTCTATCTCCAACTCTTGTAGCCCTCTTTTGAGCATATCTAAAAAACAAAATTCTTTCACTTTTATGTTCAGGCTATAATAAACATTAATTGCATTAAGCAAGCACAATACAAAAGTGAATTTTGCATGAAAATAAGAACATAAAGCTAAACTAATCTACATACATTTATTGGAAAAACCTATATTTGAATTCACATATGTTCAAAACCTTCAAATTTTTGCTTCCCCTTCCCTTTTGGATAGGCATGCTTCACTTTACGTGTTTTGGTGGATTGTGAATGGGTTTTAGATGGAGGTGCAGATGGCAGATCCTAAATACTAGATGCAGCAGCACCTTATGTATATAGAAATATTGTGAGATTTTTATCAATTAATAAAAAAAATACTTAAGTTGTTATTTACCTCTTGCACAGTTGGGATTAGGGTGTTTTTTCCTTGCTCTTACTCTCTTTTCTGTCTTCTTCTACAAGCATGATCCACAATCTTAGCATTGTTTTAGGGTAAGAATGTAAATTAAAAAAACAAAAAGGCCTAGTTGCTAAATCCATGATGAGCGCTTCTAGCTCCCTCTTTCTTTCTTGTTGTGGGAGTTGTGGCTTATTGAATAGGTAGAGTTGGGCTAAGTACTTGACTCATTGGAGGATCTTCTTAGGTCATGTTCACTAGTTCTTCCTCAGTAATGCGTGGCTAGTTGTCTTCTCTATGGGGTGGTTGCTCCTTAGTAGGACATTGTTGGTTGTCCTCAACAGTGAGGGGCTGGCTGTCCTTAGCATAGGGTGGCTAGTTGTTATTAGCAGGGGGTGGCTGGTTGTTATTTATAAGGGGTGGATGGTTGTCCTTAATAAGGGGTGGTTGCTCCATAGATGGTGGTAGCTCCATGAATGGTTCATTCTCCATTTAGGGCACCCAAAAATGGTAACCAAAGTATATAATTTACTTAGTGCACCAATAAAGGGAGCAAAATAAAGCTAAGTATACATTTCTAGATGTTACTTACATTCGGTGGTTGGCCTTTACACGATTTGGAATTGTGATCTTTTTGGAAGCATTTATGGCAAGTCATTAGTCTTCCTTGTCTTCCCATTTTTGTCTTTCCTTCCCATTCTTCAAGATTTCTTTTTTTCTCAAGCTTGCCAGGCATCTTCCTTAGTACAGGTGGCTGTATGGCTAGCATCCATATTAGTGTCCATTGATTCATGCCTTCAACAGTTGGTACCTCACATGCATAAAAGGCCCTAAATGCTGACAATTTGTACCAATTTGAAACATAATCTTCAACTCTCAATACTATCCTGGCATGTCTATAAGGAATCCTAGATAGATCCCAATAGCTACAGGTGCATTTCTTATCTTCCAACTTTACAATATAAATGTTTTTGCCTAAATCCACTTCATTTTTATTATTCATATAATCCTAAACTTCATAACCAATTCCGCCAGGCCAAAGGACTTTGCATTTCTTACTACCTTCTTTATTCCATACAATCTTAGTCCATTTTTTAGGGCCAAATTCTCCCACAAACTTAGCATATCCAAACTCTCTCCTAGCAATAGTTTTTACTGCATATATAGCTCTCATTTTTTGATTCATAGAAATTATTGCCTTGTGCTGTGCATCAACAAGTAAGGCATTAAACACCTCACACGTTATTGTTAAGCATAGCTAACTTAATTTCAGCTTTGAAAAAAGCTCTTCTCCAGTGCTTGGGATCTACATTTATTATGTCATCCATTGCTGCAGGCTTCAATTTGCCTAACTCTACTAAGGTCGCATTGAATTCTACCTCATTTAGTATCTCTTCACATCTCCAAAATAACGCTTGCAATTCCTTCCCTTTATGCTTGTTCTTGAAGTTGGCATATCTGTGCCTAGCACAATGTCTGTGTTATGCATTCGGAAAAAGGTCTGCAATTATTGGCCTCTACATTTAACCAATGCATTATAGTGTCAACAATAACCAAAAAAAAAAAAAAAAAAAAAAAAAAAAAAAGAGGACAAAACTACAAGAGATGTAAGATTAGGGACCAAAAAAGTGCAAAACTAATAAGTTGGAGGAGCAAAAAAGTGCACATATTGAAGTTTAGGGATAGAAAAAGTGCATGTCTAAACTTTTTGCGACACAACATCCATGGCTTGCATGCATAATAGTATAACTAAAACTTGAAAAGTATACTAAATTGTATAAATGAAAATAAAGTATATTATACCTTTTGTTGGTTAGATATTATAGCATAACCATCACCATCTTCTATTTGCAAATCATATTTAAGTTCTTCCAAAAACCACGACCAACTTTCTTCCTTATCAACTTCCACTATACCCTATGCAATTTGGGTACATTTGGTCATTCGCATCTTTACCAAAGGCAATAAGTAATTCTCCTTTATGTGGTTTTTTGAGAAAAGCTCCATCTAAACCAATGACTCTCCTACATCCAACAATAAATCCCTCTTTCATTGCACTAAAACACACATACATCCTCAAGAAAATAGGGTTGAGATTAGGCACTGGCCTCGGTGCATAAATCAAAATAAAGACTCCTGGATCTCTTTTTCTCAATTCTATAGCATAATCAAAAAGCTTGTTATATTCCAAGGAATGATCCCCTTCAAACGTTTTTCTCAGCCTCCTTTTAATAATCCTACAGTAGATGCAAGTCAACTCCACATTCAAATCATTCCATATTTTAGTAAAAATATGTCCACTTTTCAAATAAAAGGCAATAAAACCCTTAGTCTTGAACAAATGGTTCACTGCAAATGTTGAATTACATCTCTGATTGGTCGATCCCTATTCACATGTGTGTTCATTGTTAAATGTCTTGACCATCCATGTCTTGGTTGTCTTATCCCATGCTAACAAAATCTTCCAATCACAATACCTTTCTTTACAAATAACCCTGTGTCTCTTCTTATCATTCTTCACCCACTTAATTGGCCTTCTTTGGATAATGCTCAATTTATCCACAGCTTTTTTAAATTGAGCTTTATTTAGAAAAACCATGCCTAACTCAATATATGCCATGTCATCATATATTTTGCTGAAAACTTTGTGCCTACCCTTCCTTTTCCTAGTGTGTTCAACTTCACTTCCATCCTGTTCACTTATTGAAATGAAGTTGATATCATCATCTGAGCCTAATGAATACTTAGGACCAAAATCATTGTGACTAGTTGAAGATGAGGGAATTTCAAGACTAGTTCCTGTAGGCAAGCATATATGTTACTATGTATTCCATTAACTCATTAATAAACTAAGTAAAATGAAAGTTGATGAAGTACCTACTGATGGTTGACTGGGACCATACTTAACACCTTTCCTAGCATTTTTTGATCTACAAGTTGCCTAATGCAAAGAGTTCATTTTCTTTCTCGCCTCAACAGTTTCCTCATCTTCATTATCACTCAATTATGATATATATGGAAAAAAATGATCTTTGTCCTCGAAATATTCATTATCTTCATTACCATCATTACCATCATTACCAATATCCTCAACTTTGCCTTCGACCTCAATTGCATGACCAGCATCCTTAGCTTTGCCTTCAACCTCAATTGCATGACCAACATCTTCAACTCTGCCTTTCACCTCAACAAGATCATTTTCTACTCTGCTTTCAACCTTAACGGACGTCAACCATACCCTTATCATTAAGGGCTGGTAATGGTAAGATAGGTATAATTTCAGCAAAATCTAGGATATGAGGCACATAAATATCTACCTTTTTCTCCACCTTCAACAGCCCCAAAACATCCCTAATGTCATCATCATTCTTAATAGGTTTCAAACCATCTGTAAGTGTTTTTCTTGGTTCTAAATGACATATTTGGTTGACCATATCGACATCATATCTAGCAATACCAATCTTAGTATAAAGTTCAAACAATGTCAACTTGTCCCTATTAATAATCCAGTCATCACATTGACCATCAACATATGAAATTGACTTATCAACTCCCTATATAAACCTCCCACCCAAATAAATGGAAATTGGTATAGATTTGGTTTGTGCCTCATTTCCTGAATCATGCTCAACCTAATAAATAAGCAAAAAAAAAAAAAACAAAATAAATTACTCAATACATATTTGGACACAAGTCAACACAGTAGACAGCAGACAATTAGCAACATTCAAAGCAAAATTTTGAAATTGTAAAGAAAAATTTATTTGATAAAGAAATTATTATTCAATACATAAGTAAATGGGAAAGACAAAAATGACACAAACTTCTTGTCTAAGTGGGGACCTAATGTCCTTTTCTCCTCGAATAGTCATGTAGTTCAAGATGCATCAAATTTTTTACATCACTTTTATCAGACAATGGCCCATGTTAGTATAAAAAAGTACCCTCTGAATCAGTTAGATAACAATAGAAAAAGGGAGAAGGAAACCCATCTCGATACCTCGTTATCTAGATTCTCTTCACTTGGTTCTAGGTTGACATCAACGATTTTGGGGTCATTGGGGTCCATCGGTCTTGAGTGACTTTCCAACAATCGAAACTTCGATTTCCTTGGCAAAATCTTTGGAATCCCAACAAATCTAGGGTTCGAGTTTGAACTTTGAAGGAGAATCAAACAAGGAAGACACGATAACCTCTAAGAAAATCTTTGCAATCCCAAAGAGTATAGGGTTTGGGTTAGAAGAAAGTGCAATGTTCTCTATTTTGTAGAAGTTTTTAGATTTTTTACTCTTAAAAGAGCAATCCAAAAGACATATTTCTTTATTGGTTCTTTGCAAGCAATGTGAGATCCATTTGAGGGGCTTTGGCGCGTTTAATTCGCGGGAATATGACATGGCATAATGGTTTGTTCATATTAACAACTTTTTAAGTTATCTTCTCCAAGTCATCAGAAAAAATATAGAAAATGCCATGTGGACATAATTAACGGTTTAGACTGACAGAAGGACCAAAATTGTGTATTTCTTAAAGTTTAGGGATCAAAAAAGTGCAAAAAATAATTGAAAGACAAAAAAAATACAACACTCAAAGTTGAGGAACTAAAATTAGCATTTAACTGTTAAAATATAAGGTAATAGGATTCTAAACCTACAATTATATTATGTTATAAAAGAATTAATATATATAATATTATAGGTAGATTTTTATATGAAAAAATTAATTATTTAATAACACATTATAATTATAAATTTATAATATTATAATTATATTATTTTTATTTTAAAAGAAAAATATCCAATAAAATAGGAGACAATAATCAATTTAAGTTGATCAACTCCCATTTTGGTGACGCTAGATTTTTCCAGTTTACAACAATATGCTCCCATTTTAGTGACGCGAGATTTTTCCAGTTTATAACAATATGTTTAGCTTGGAAACTATTAGCAGTTATTGATCTAAAGATTTGGGCTTTCATTTCACAATATTTTTTTATAGATTTTTTTACACAATATTCTATTAAAAGGAATTTTTTAATAT